ACCAGCCCTTCCTCTTCTCACTTTCATCTCCAGGTCAATGAGAGTCTATGGAATGTAGTTTAACTGAAACCATTTCTTCATTGCTGCCTTTTCCCCTCTTCCACTCACCAGAAGACCAATGTAACATCATGCGAATGGAGAAAAGATTGAAGTTGTCAAGGATTTCACTTTACTTGTATCCACAATATTCGTGTAAGCAGCAGTCAAGAAATCAAGTAAAACATTACACTGGGCAAATCTGCTCCAAAAGACCTCCTTAAGGTTTTAAAGAGCAAATATATCACTTTGGGAGTCCAGATATGGACTGCAAGGTCAATTTGAACTGCAAGGATGGCAGTTCAAATCTACCAGCCATACCTTGAAAGCCCTATACAGTGTTCCAATGAGTTGTTGTTGTTGTTAGGTGCCATTTTGAAAATGCCATGGATTATCCATCTTGGAATATATACAGACAAAATATTCCTTAGAAGCCAGGATGGCAAGACTTCATTTTTATACATGTTGTCTAAAGGGACCAGTTCTTAGAAAAGGACATCATGCTTAGCAAAATAGTAGGTCTATGAAAAAGAGATCAGTGAAAATGAGATTGATACAGTGGCTGAAACAATATGTTCACACATAACAACAGTTGTAAGAATGGCAAAGGACTGGGCAGCATTTCATTCTGTTGTGTTACTATAAGTCATAGCTATCTTGATGGCACCGGTTACAAATTGGGCTGTGAACTGCAAGGTCAGCATTTCGAAATTACCAGTTGCTACGCAGGAGAAAGATGAGGCTTTCTGCTCCTTTAAAGATTTACAGCCTCGGAAACCCTATTCATGGTCACTATGGGTCGGAACCAACTCAACAGCACTTAACAACAACAATAATATATTTAATGAACAAGACTGAATGCTTTCTTTCTAAGTTAAGGAACAACAATGATGTCTGCTTTCGCTACCTGTTTTCAACATTGCACTGGAGGTTCTAAACTGGAAAATAGGAAACAAAGATAAATAAAAGACATTAAACTGTAAAGGAAGAAGTAAAACTACCTCTATTCAAAGATGTCATAATCCTGTCTACAGAGAATCCTAAGGAATTCACAGAAATTTATTCAAACTTACAAGTTCAGCAAGATTGCATAACATATTATTAATATACAAAATCAATTACAATGAATAACTAAACAAAATTTCAAAGAACAATCAATTTATAATAGCATCAAAAATATTTAAAGACACAGAATAAATTTAACAAAATGAAAATGGTACTCTGAAAATGATACACTCTTCTTTATAAGAACTAAAGACCTGTTTTCCATAACTTTCTTATGTTCTCCATATATTTTATGGGCATAAATCAAACATTGCTTATTTTGTAAACCTTCAGTTTTACATCAAATCCCAAATATTTCCCCTTCTATTCAGCTTAATCCTAATGACTTTCATTTGAAAGGGAACAACAGGACTTTGTTATTTCTTCACTCTGTATCCTGTTTGCAAGGGAAGCATGAACAGGATTGTTGTTGTTGTTGTTATTAAGTGCCACCAAGTCAGTTCCAACCCATAGTGACCCTATATAGGGTTTCCAAGGAGCAGCTGGTGAGCTTGAACTGCCGACCTTGCAGTTCAAACGGCTTTGCAGTAACCCACAGTGCCACACCAGGACTCTAGGGTGGAAGGGAGGAAAAGAACCACGGTATTTTTAACCCATGTGGCCTCATTTTCTACCACTCATCTCCTATTTTAAGGCACCGACACCACATTGTTCTGATTGTCTTTTGACAACACCAATCATATTAATAACACCTGGCATTTCTTCTTGCCAGCTCATATACCTAGGAGCTCTTTCCAAAGACTATCATGGCTCATTTCATCACCTCTTCAATCAGGTCCTTGGCAGAATTAAGCCTTTTGAAAGTGGGCTTTTTAAACCACTTTTCTAAAGTAGAATTTATTGTCATGCATAAGACCATAATTCAGGTTTATTTTAAAGAGCTTTGAAGAAGGAAAAATATTTTCTTAGACAAGCAAAAACTTAAAAACAAAGTAAGTCAATGCTAGCAGTTTTACTTTACTGCTGTTGTTGTTCTTATGTGCTACCTAGTCAGTTTTGACTATACTAATAGCGACTCTATGCACAACAGAGTGAAGCACTGCTCAGTTCTGTGCCATCCTCATAACTGCAGATGAAATATGCAGAGAACATAATGTTGCTTACTGATAGCAAAAAGGTTGATGTTTCCAAGTTGTTACACTTGAATCCATTGCTGCTACCACTATGCCAATCCATCTCATTGGGGAATCTTCCTTTTCTTCGCTCACCCTCCCCTTTACCAAGCATAATGTCTTTCTCCAGCAACTGCTCCCTCCTGATAACATGCTGAAAAACTATAATACTAAAAATATATATGTAATAAGAAATAGAGTAAATTCAAATAGGAAAATGAAGAAAGTGACACAAAGAGTAAGAATTAAGTTAGAATTCCTACTGTCATCAAGTCAACTTATAGCACCCTCTACTTAGGGTAGCCAAGGCTATAAATCTCTATGGGAGTCTAAAGCCTTCTCGTCCTGCCTCGAACAGGATGGTAAATTCATGCTCCTTAAAGTTAAAATTGTTGTTGTGAAGTGCCATGGAGTCAGGTCTGACTCATAGTGACACTCTATAGGGTTTCCAAGCAGTGGCTGGTGGGTTTGAATCACCAGTACTGCAGTTAGCAGTCTGGTGCTTATCCCACAGTGCCATCATAAAGAAAACAAGGACTGATCATGGAAAATGAAGAATTAAGTGCCTTTAATGCAATATAATCCTCACCTGCAACCTGCAATAGAAAACGTGCCTCACTGTAGAATGATAGAGTTCGAATCATACAGCCATAATAGCCTTCATCCAATGGGTGGATGTCATGCAGCTTCAGTGCAACATAACCTTGGGTAATGTTCTCCTTCAGAAATTCTGTTCTTCCTTGGTACTCCTTCCTTTGAAATTCCATGTGATCCTGGCCATCTTGATACATATGTACCACAAATGAGATTTGGTCACGGAACCATCTCACCTCCATTCCTTGGGCATTCATTGAGGGACTTAGATGGCAGGAGATCACAATTTCTTTGCCAGTATGAGCAATGACAGGTTGGGTAGGTCCAATTACTAAGAACTGACCTGGAACATAAGTTTAGAGTTAGAGTGATAAAGTCAGGCTGGACTGGATATTAGTAAAATTAGCTATGTTATATTTGGACATTCGGAAATTGACTCAGAAATAACTAATTCATCTATTCAGCAATTTACTTACCTGACAGTTTTCAAGTGATTATATAAATTTTTAGGCTGGGGATGAAAATACCCATCCAATGCTAAGCAACATGAATAAAAAAGAATTTTCATTAGGGATATGATCATGAAAATTGAGGTTACCAAGGATAAAGAAACCTTAAAAAAAATTTTGACATGTGAAATGAAAAATAATTAACACAAAGACAAAAATGGAACTGGCATTATGCCTTTCAGTAACATTACTAAGTAAAAGAATATTCTCAAAAGAACCAAGAAAATTATTTTAAAACCAAAATGCAGAATATTAAATGATGGATGAGTAGAATAGATATTTTAATGAATACACTAGAACAGAAAATGTTCCTCCTATTGTTTGTTTTGAGAAAAGAAGTTAGATAAGTAAATGTCACTTTTCATCACAAACCATTTTGAACTAGTTGATATTCCAAATATTTATTTGACAAAGAGTTAAAAACAATAAACATAGATTAAACTCTTTATTTTAAAAAGAAGATATACATTTATGCAAATAAAGCATGTATTCATAAAATATATTTTAAAAATCCACTGTCTTTAAGTTGAGTTCTGACTCACAGCAACCCTATAGCCACCAGTTTGGCTAACTTGATACCAAATTTTCTAAACACTTATAATCACTAAATAACCTCTTAAATTGCCTATGTATTGAAAGATAACTCAAAAATACAAGTTTAAATTCATTGGAATATATTGATATTTTAAAACTTTAGGTTGTAATTAAACTCCATTTAGAGATGAATACATAATCTTCATTCAAGAGCAAGAATAAAAGAAACAAAATTTAGAATTCAACACAAGAAACTAAAAGCTGGATAACAATAAACTCAAGAAAAACTAATTCATAATGATGAAACTTAAAATCCATGAATTAAGAATTCATAAAAACTTAATGACTATATGCAAAAATAGATGCTTAGTCAAGAAATAATAATGCAATGTCAAATTTAATAATGCAGAAATCAATAGGTGTGGCACTGTAGGCTAATGTTCAGACTGCAAAGTCATTTGAATTGCAAAGTCGGTGGTTCAACCTCATCAGATTCCCCTTGGAAACTCTATACAGAGTCACTATGGGTAGGAATCGACTCAATGGCACTTAACAACAACAGCAATCAATAAATAATTTTGAAAATTTGAGAAATGTTTAAAAATCAATGAAAAGAAAATAAAACTTTTTTTAATATCCAAAATAAATAAATAAGTTTAAGCCCTAAATTAACAAATTTGGAACTTGTCTGGTCCACATCATCTATTGGTACATTCTTTAAAGCCTCTAAGAAACTTACCCTACAAATGTTATTTATTCTTCCGGATGAAGGACAAATATGTAATTTTCCCCATTTAATTTTCAAAGGTTTAATAAAAGCAATATCTAAATAATGACTGTAACAGGACAAAAAATTACAGACTAAGCTCATATACAAATATACAAATATAGTTTCAAAAATTAAAGGTAGTAGTAATAGAATGGGCAATAATTCATAATCATCAAACAGAGATTATTCCAAAAATGCTAAGTAATTGTAATATTTGAAAATACAGCTTGCAATCAACAGTTAAAACAGACTCAAAAAAATCTCTAATATCGTCTGACTTTTACTCATTCTTCTATTGCTTGAAATTTATCCAACATTTTATAATGAAAATTTTCAATCATACAGAAAGTTGAAAAGATTTTTAAGGGAAAACTCACATATCTGTCACCAAAATTCCACCATAAATATTTTTACTCTATTTACTTTATCACATATCTATTTCTCTATCAATTAAATGAATTTGATGCAATTCAAAGTAAACTCCAGACATCAGTACACTTTCCCAAAATACTTCAGTATACATATCATTAACAAATTGTTATTGTTGTTAGGTGCCATCGAGTTGGTACCTACTCATAATGACCCTATGCACAACAGAATGAAACACTGTGCAGTGCTGGGACAAACATAATCGTTGCTAAACCAGAGCCCATCGTTGCCACCACTGTGCCAATCCGTCTCATTTGTGGTCTTCAACACTTTAAAAAGGTCTTGTGCAGCAGACTTGCCTAATGCAACACACATTTGATTTCTTCACTGCTGCTTCCATGATGATTAATGATTGATCTGAGCAAATGAAGCCTTTGACAACTTCAACCTGTTCTCCATATATACTGTGAGGATTTTTGTTTTCTTTACATTGAGATACAACCAATACCAAAGGATGTAGTTTTTGATCTTCATCAGTAAATATTTTAAGTCCTCTTCACTTGCAGCAAGAAAGGTTGTACCATCTGCATATTGCAGGTTGTTAATGAGCCTTCCTCCAGTCCTGATGCCATGTTTTTCTTCATATAATCCAGCTTCTCTGATTATTTGCTCAGTATACAGAATAAATAAATATGGTGAAAGGATACAACCCTGATGCACATCTTTTCCTAATTTTAAGCCATTCGGTGTTCCCTTGTTTTGTTCAAACAACTACCTCTTGGTCTATGTACAGATTCCTCATTAGCGCAATTAAGTATCCTGAAATACTCATACTTTGCAATGTTATCCATAGCTTGTCATGATACACACAATCAAAAGCCTTTGCATAGTCAATAGAGCATGGGTAAACATTTTTCTGGTATTCTCTGCTTTCAGCCAAGATCCATTTAACATCAGCAATGATATCCCTTATTCCATATCCTTTTCTGAAACCAGCTTGAACCTCTGGAAGTTCTCTATCAATGTATGGTTGCAACCATTTTGTATTACCTTTAGTAAAACTTTCATCGCATGGGCTATCAATGATATTGTCCAATAACTTCTGTTGTGTCACCTCTCTTTGTAATTGGCACAAATACAGATCTCTTCCAGTCAGTTGGCCAGGTCTTCCAAACTTCTTGGTATAGATGAGTGAATGCCTCCACTGCCACATCAGTTTACTGAAAGATTTCAAGTTGTATTCCATCAATTCCATGTGCCTTGTTCTTTACCAATGACTTCAATGCACCTTACACTTCTTCCTTCAAGATAATTGGCTCTTGATCATATGCTACTTTCTGAAATGGTTGTCATTCCCAGCATAGTAAACCTAGTGGTTGTCAGATTCAAAATAGCCAACATCAGTCCATTTACGTTCACTAATACTTAGGTTGTTGATGTTTATGCATTCCATTTATTTTTTGACAATTTCCAATTTTCCTATTCATACTTCATGCATTCTATTTATTAATGGATATTTACAGTTGTTCCAATTATTAATGGATGTTTACAGCTATTTCTCTTCATTTTTAGTTGTGCCCCATCAGCAAATGAAGGTCCTAAGAGTTCAACTGCATTCACATCATCATATCATCATAGTCAACTCTACTTTGTGAAGACAACTCTTCCCCGGTCGCATTTTGAGTGCCTTCCCACCTGAGGGACTCCTCTTCTGGCAACATATCTGACAGTGTTCCACTGCTATTCAGAAGGTTTTCAGTGACTAAATATTTGGAAGTAGTTTGTCTCTCCTTCTTCCTAGTCTGCCTTCATCTGGAAACTCACCTGAAACCTGTCTACCATGGTTGACATTGCTGATATTAAAAATACCCGTGGCATAGCTTTAAGGATCACAGCAACACACAAGCCACCACAATACACAAAAAGTCGGTATTTTTGGTTTCTTTTAATGGAAGTAAAAATTACAAATAATGCACATTCACTAAGATTTAAAAAAACAAGTACCTCTTGTAATCTAAAGGAG